TTGAAGCAACATATATGTTATGGGAAATAATTTTTTTATGTTGTAGGAAAATATTTATCTTATATTGTAGAAACAAGATTGCAAATGGAACCCATAGATAAGAGGAGAGAGAAAAAAAAGAAGTGGAACCCACCTAGTTTTTGTGTGTGTAAGAAATTTAGTTATCTTATGTAAAAGTAGATAAATATAATCCATATTTTATTAGGTATCTTTAACTTTATCCGTTAGGAAAAGCTTTAAGCCAAGAAACTCAAATAAGATTTCATTCGTCAGACTGAAGTATATAGCATAGGGCCCATAAGCACTGCATCACGGGTCGAGGGTTATCTTCCAAGTCCAATAATACCCGTGTCGCTATCTAGCACTCAAGGGAAGCGACGTGGTTTTTGCACGGCTCAGCTTTGGTTTTTCGCTTTAAAATAGTCCCAAAGTAAGTACTTAACTTTGTCAGTACATACAGGACTACTTTAAGCACAATACCAGTGTTGTTGATTAATAACCACAAAAATATCGCTTTCTACATTGATCGTGGCATGGAATGTCTGTGGGATCGCGAAGCGTGAATTGAATTAGGGCGACACAAATATCCAAATAAAAATATGATAAAATTGAAGTATAACATAAATCAATACAATATTAGCATAAATATACAAATATTAAACTAGAATAAGGATATTAATATTTTATAAATTAATTGCAAAAAATAAAATATTACTATTTTTTTTAGATTCTTAGTACCTGAAAATTATTTTGGACCTCGACTAATTTAAATCGAATTGGGTGTATTAACTAAGAAAGACAAAAGTCTCCTAACACTTGTTTTTTCTACTCATAAATCTCTAATCTAACGCCTTACTTAAGAGAAACTGAATATCTTGCCACTTAAACTAGCAGTGATTAGTAAAGAAAATATTATTATTCATCTAATTATTATCGTAAAAACTCAAAATAATAATAATAATAATAATAATAATAATAATAGAGATATAAAATAGAAGTATTCAAAATTATTTACGAAATATCTTATATAATAACGTATAGGATAAAGGTAAGTTAATCATTTTGAAGCATAAATTTTAGTAACTATTAATATGTGAATAAAAATAAATCCCTTTTATTTTAAAATTGTCAATTTTTTTTTGGTGGCCTAAAATTTCCGCGTGATGTTTGGTGGGCCAAAATAATGTCAATAATAAAACAATTATAAAAGTTAACTCATATTTGAATAACCAAATTAATGAATTTTTAAAAGCATTTGTCAAAGTTATGGCGTCGGAATAAATAATGCAGCGCCTTAGCTAATAGTGCCCTAATCACTACGACGGATAATATTAGAGGTGGCAAAATGAGCGGGATGCCATCAACCCGTCAAAAAATGAGTCAGCCCCGCTCTACTCCACTTTTGAAAGTGGGCTGAAAAACTCAACTCGTCCCGTCCAGTTTGGTGGGTTGAGCGGGTTGGCTCTCCAGCCCAAGCCTATTTTACACTGACCCGCCTCAGTCCGCCTATGTACGCCATTAACCCGCCAAAAAATGAGTCTGTCCCGTCCCGTTTGACGAGTTGAACGGGTTGACTCACCGAGCCGAGCCCGTTTTGCCGGCTCTAGATAATATGGTTCTCAGATCCTCTCATCTCCTTAATTTGAGGAACTTGCTTTAATGATTCTCAATTAGATCCTATACTCATACATGAAGTATTGACTGAAGGACCGGAGTGCTATCTGGGATTACAGAAGAGCTGGATAGTTATATTTTCCCATAAGAGCCTCGAAAGTAACGGCAACCAGCAAGGACATTATTTGCTTGCTTCTTAATGGTACTTTTTATAAAGCTTCCAATTAACTTGTTCACATTCACATCTTTAATTCTTTATCTATAATCAATGAAGCCGAACCAACCCATAATTGTCTTCATTTTTATTTTTTTATTTATTTTGCATAGTTTTTACCTTTCAATAGTGGTTCAAAGGGAAAAGCTACCCAATGGGTGGAGCTCAGTTGGTAATTTGGCGCTGAGTTAGCGGGGTTGAATATGTGTTCGATTCCCGCTGAATGCATTCTTGGGGAGGGGGCTGAACCTTTAGCCATCACTGTTCCCCCGCACTCCGGATTAGTTCCATAGCCGGCTCAAAGAGTCGAAGCTCGTGGGAATACCGGAGGGAGCCAACTCGTCTCAAAGAGATAATTAGGGTTGGGTAACTCCAAAAAAAAAAAAAAAAAAGGGAAAAGCTATTGAGCCGAATTTGAAGATTGCCTATATAATTATTCGATACTAAATCATTTCTATGTATCGTAGTCACGGGTTAATAAATAATACAATGCACTTCTAAGAGCCGAAAAGGCATGTTTTATTCTACATTTCTACTTCATCCCTTTGTTTCTCTTTTATGAATCTATTTAAAGAGTATTTTTTATTTATTTATATGTTTATTTGAAAAAAAAAAATTAACTTTACCGTTGATACCAATAAATAAGAAAAGACTTATATAATTATAATATTTGAATTATTATAATGAAAAAATAATTCAGTCTCATGAAATTATTTTGTTTACAAACAAAAAAACTCAATAATTTCTTTTACTTCTTCTCTAATAATATTAAAAAAATGAAAATTGCATCTCGGGAAGATTGACAAGATTGTTTAGTCATCAAAATTTGGGTTTAAGAATGATCAGAACCACCACCTTCTTTTTTCCCGGTTAGTCAGAGTCAAATGAGTTGGGATTAATATAATACCAAATGCTATGGAACCGCTTGTGATCTTTAAAAAAAAAGTTATTAAGATTACATGTCTGATGGCAATTTACGATAATTTATCTCTACAGAGGCTAAATTACTTATCAACATATTTTAGCTTCTTTTATTAGTATTAGATATCAATGTCATATATACTATACAAATTGTTTCATATTTTATGATAAACTCCTTTTCGGTGCCATTCCGAACCATACCTAATTCATATAAATAATATTGTTAATCTGTCACACCTAATTCAACTACGTAATATTGCTGGTTAAACATATCTCAATCTAGATTTTTTATTTTTTTTTTTAAATATCATTGCAATGAAATCATGGCACTAGATGCATGCAATGATGCAATTGAACAAGAATTACAACAGGAGAGCGGATTGTCAATCTAGACAGCAGTTATAATTATGTATTTTACAGTACGATTAATTAAATATGAACTTGTTTAACAACGGACCAGTACCATATGGGCGGATCAATATGTATGGGGCCTAATCACGTACGGTTAAAGAATGAAGACTTTTAGTTGGGTTGTATGTTTCTTGGGTTAGAGATGATGGTAATGAGATCTTGGCACGGTGATTCTGACTAGGGATACCTGCAAAGACACTATGACGCTCAAGTCACTATCAAAGCTAGGCTTATGTTGTATTCTTACTGAATTATAACCTAGGTATGTGCCCTTCGTTTGTATAGTAAATCCGATGCTGCCTTTGGTAGGCGGCATGTCCTCTGATTGGCTGTTTATGGGCTGCAGGTAAGGGTGTTAACGGGCCGAGCCAAGTTGAGCTTTGATCTTAAAATGCTAAGCCTGTGTTTAAATGTGTCAGTCTGACAAAGTCTGACAAAGTCTGTTACCTGTTATGAATATAATTATCGGCCTATGGCCTGACTTATTTACAAAAAAATAAAAGTCTGGTTTAGCCTATTTAAAAAAAATAAGACAATAAAAATTTATCCAAACAGAATATACAATCAACAGCACTAGTAATTTCATAAATATTCATAAATTCAATGTATATATCAAACAGCATAATATAGAATAAAATTATTCAAAAGTTTGTTTAACCAATAAAATGGAACGAAATGGATTGAGGAAAGAAAAGGCTATTACAAGTAGTATAAAAAAATATAAAATAAAAATAAAAATTAATATACTAGGCTAACCTGAGAGGCTCTATGGCCGAACTTTTGAATTAGAGCCTGAGACCTTTTTATTAAATGAGCTTTTATACAAGTTCAAGCCTGGTTCCTACTACCAATTTTAGACATATAAGCTCAGGCCTTCACGAGCCTAGCCAAAGGCCCCTGAAAGGCTTCTGATTCATTTACCACCCTTAGCTGCAGGCTTATATGTTCTCAGCTGGTGTCGTTCTGGCCTTACCTATATATTTCAAGCTACCTTTGTAGAGTGGTGGCAAACTGAAGGTGTCCTTTGTGTATTGGTTTTATGGCGCGGTGGTTTCTTGTGTTATGGATTTCTACCTTAGTTCTTAAGGCATGTCTTAGGCGGTTTAGGCGCGATGAGGTCATACCGCCCCTGGATTCTCTATGCGCGATGAACACATCGCGCACTTCATAGGCCTTATATGTTTGGGCCTTGATCTTTGGTTTTAACCCTTTGTGGGCTGATTATATTTTATCCAGATCACAAACATTAATGTAACTTCCCCTGCATGAATTTGTAGATAACTTAACATAGCATATAGAGAAAAAAATTATTTATGCAATGAATTAGAAAATGGTAATGATTAAAGAGAGGCTAAAGGGAATAACAATAAGTCTTAGTATTCAAAAAAAAAATCTTAAAAACACAGAACACTAAGCGTTTTTGCTTGGACCGCAACTCACTCTAAAACCACATGGGAAGCCCATTCATTTCTAAACAAGTTCAGAGGAAAATTGGGCTGTGTGCTCCAATTAACTATGCCTTTTTGTTATTATTTGGGTCAAAGGCCTAACATCATCTATTGTGGGCCACTTACTCCAGAGTCCAAAGCAGAAAAACATTAGGAATTAGGGTTTTTAATTGTCCTCTCTAGTCTCTCCATTTCAGTTTTCTGTAGCCCCCTGGGTTCTTTCTGTAGTGCATTGTTCGCGGAGCAAGGTTCATGTCTGTTTTATTTCCTGCGAATCTTTTATCAGTGCTTAATCTTTGTTAAGCTTGTCGTTTTAGGGTTTGCGTTTTGAACTTTGAATGACAATTTTATTTTATGTTCTTTCCGTTTGTTTTTTAAAATTGTAAAGACTAAGGCTATGATGACCGATATAAATTTCTCGATTCTGATCAGGACCAAAGCAAATCTATTGCTCTTGATGACAGTATTTGTGCGTGTCTGAGCCTTTCCTTTTCTTTCTTTTTTTCTTCTAGTTTTTGTAAATTGAGCCTTTCCTTTCCAGTTGTATGTAATTGTAAGAATTTTCAACAGTTCTCATATAAATTATTCGTGTTGCATTTTTTCTTTCTTTATTTTTTGAAATGTTGCATATTTTTGCTATGAACGATTCTAACTTAGTTGGCTCTTGCAGTCCTTTTCTGATTTTTATAAACAATGCACCATAAGCAGATTGATATGGTGCCGCATCATGCAAGATAACGTGCATCCCTTCAACATGATGCAGAGCACTTCTAGCAGAAAACAATTGATAAACAAATTCAAAACATTCAACAAATTATTTTATCCTGATTATTAACCTCAAAATTTCCAGAAGATAATAACAATTGCACTTAATTCATTAGGATGAGCTACTAAGATCAAACTGATTGCTGACTTGCGAATGAAGTTCCATGTTTATGCTCTGTTTTCTTTTCCTTTCTTCCGAATTTGTGTCTGAAACCAGTAAAAACTATAAAGTTTGTAGATGAATTTTATGTTAAAATGCCATTCTTTTCCCTTCAAATCTCAATTTAAAAAGAATAAAACAATTTTTTAAACAAAAATATTGAACAGCATTTTGGGTTTATATGTAATGCAGCAATATTTAGGTTCAACCTCTAACTTGGAATGTAACCATTGAATAAAAGACTATGAGAGAAAAGAAATCAATGGAATGTATTGGGATATTCAAGTGTAATGAAATTTGATGGGGTCTATGGATTCAATATTTTAAGGTTTTGAGTTGATATATGATGTTGGATTTATTGATGTAGTTTAATTCATTGGTGATGATCAGTGTTGCAAAATCCTTTTGTACAATAATGATTTTGGATTGTGATAAGGTGTTGAACTAGCCTAACAACATTACTTGTAACCCAATAATCTAATAAATTGCTAAGCATTTATTATTTCAAAATAGTCATCTAAAATGATTCATGTTATATGCAAAATCATTTTGTAAAATAAAAAAATCCATTTGTACCAAATCGTTCTCGTCTGCTCGTAGAACCATCGGCACTTGAACCTTACCTATCAGAGCGGATTGAAAGTGTATTCCAAGAAATATATGTAAGGTAAACATATGTATTTCAAATTCCAATTTTTTGTTTGTTTTGTCAACATCCACATAAATATATGCATTTTTTGACCATCGAGACTAGTTTGTTTCTGTGATGATAGTTCTAATTAGAACTCGTCTGCTCTTGTTATAGGGTGGGATTTATCATTTATATGATGTTCTGAACATGTTTGAACTTTAAACTACTAAACCGGACACAGAATGGAACGTGTTTGGGATCCTGCTGTTCTTGGTTAAATGAACGGATATTGCTCTTTCCCGCATATGAGTTTAGACAATCATTATTCTTACCAGTTGTGAATGAAAGGGTAGATTTTGGGAACAGGTTGGTATCAACAGATGCAAATTTTGTAAAGGATTTTAGATCTAGTGTCATACTTTACAAAATTAATTATCATTCTCTGTCTCTAGTATGTTTTGGTTCAATGGTTCGGTTAAATCGATTTCATGGAAGGTTCATCATTTATGATTAAAACTAACTCCGAGATCGGATCTCAAATCTTAATGCTATGGGCATGTTGTTGATGCCAAAATTCATACTTGCTTTTTGAATTTCTATGTCCAATTACAATTTCATGACCGCAAGAAAGGGTTTATTTCATAATACTTTGCACTGTACTACTAGAGCTTCTCACAATTGTGTTAGCGATGCAGTGGTGGGTGCCATGTCAAACGGTTTGCCTTTTGAACTTGCTGATTTGAGATTAATGTAATTCAAGCTCTGCCTAAGTCAGTGAGATCAAATTTAGGAAGCGCTAATTTGCAGAGATTTCTTAGTTATGATTGTGAACTGGTTGTTCATAGATGTACCCATGAAGGGTGTAATATGTTGATCTAGGGATACTCCCAGCAGCCATGGTATAGACTAAGGTTATGTTAAAGCTTTTCATGTATATGTGTATCAAGTAGGAGTGTGTGAGAGTGGCTAAGATGTGATACCATTTGTGTAGAGTGACTGCATATGAAATGAGTGAGAAGAAAATCTCCCTCCCCTTTGTGTGAGGGGAGTATTTAGAGAAGGGAAATCTCTCTCAAGCGTGGAAGAGAGAAAGTATAGTGTTGTTACCTTGTTGAAACCTATGTCTAATAGGCAGGGGTAGCAGTAGTGTATCTACGTTATACTTAGGTAGGGCTTAGGCACCAATTACATTTTAATAAATTTTATTTATTATACATAATTATATATATAAGCAATTATAGTTGAGCCCTAGCTAAAATTGTAACAATGGTAACAGACAAAGATTTGGAGTTGCTTTGTGTGTATGACCATATAACAGATTGCTTTCTTCTTAATTTCTTCTTCTTTTTCTTTCATCTTTTTCCAATTAGGGTTTTTTTCTAACCTTTTTTTCTTATTCGTACTCACCATCCGGAACCCAGCCATTTTGCGATAAGGTACGATGTTTTGTTCCTTTCTCAAGATTTTACTGATACATGTTCTTGGAATATGCATTGATAATTATATTGTCCGTTGGGGGAAAATATTGATTTATATTTTTGAACTTGTAAAAGAAAAATTCTGTCTTTGCTTACCATAATATTTTATTGGGTTTTTTTAACATAAATGAAATTCATGCTGCTTTTTTTATTTATAATTTTTTTTTGTGATTGTATTTATTGATTTTATTTCTTTTGAAAAATGGAGTGTTGTTTTACGTTTACCTTTGTGTGTGTGTATATATATATATATGGATATATTTTTCTTATGTTGTAGAAAAAAATTACCTCATGTTGTAGAAATAAAATTATAAGTGGGACTCACAGGTAAGAGGAGAGAAAAAAAAAGAGCGGTGGGACCCAACCCTTTTTTGTGTGTAGGAGAGTTGTTTATCTCATGTAAAATGAGATAAACATAACCCATATATATATATATATATGAGGAATGATATTGTGACAACCAAATTGTGTTACTACCAATTAATCTCATCGTTAGATAGATTATGTTGATCCAACAGTTATATTTATTTCCATCTTTGTATGGTCATGGTTTCTCATATTTAAAGTGAAAACATTAAATATGGGAAATCATAACCATACAAAGGTGGAAATAAATATAAAGTATTAAATTTGAGAAACTATGACCATACAAAGATGGAAATAAATATAACCGTTGGATCAACATAATCGATCTAACGGTGAGATTAATTGGTAGTCACTTGGTAGTAACACAACTTGGTTGTCACAATATCCTTCCCCTATATACATAGGAAAAAACATTTCTCAAGCAGCTTGAGATAAGTTTATCTCCGGCTACCCTAAAATTACGTCGTTTTATTTATTTATTTCCTTATATCAATTGATTCACCTTTGAATGGTTATGATTCTCTTTTTCTCTGTCTTCCTTCATCATCACCATTGATCCATCTTTGTACGGTTATGATTTAGTAGCCGGAGATAAGATTATCTCAAGCAGTTTGAGAAACGATAAGCCCTGGGTCAGGATCATTTTATACAAGTGTAAGTTACACTTTCAATCTTGTCTATTGATCCCACTTATATCTAAAGGCTCTAAGTTTTTAGTAATGTGAGCTATTGGATATAAGTGGATCAATGGTTAAGATTGAGTGTAAGACTTCTAACTCTTACACTGGTATAAGAATATCCTGCCCCTATATATATAGAGAGAGGTACAGTTGCTATTAGTAATGAAATTGAATTGTTTCCTGTGTTATTTGTATTTGATTTCACAACAGGAATGAGAATTTTGACGATTAATTAGTAGAAACTGGTAAAAAGAAAAATCAATGAAGATATATGTATATATATGGAGTATGAAAATTTCTTGTACTTATTCATTAACAACTTCTTCTTCTTTTTTGTATTTTTAAAATTTTTAAGATATCTAAACACTCATTAAATAATTATGTGGATCAATTTAAATGATTTTAGACATTTGTTGCTGATTATTCTATTTTTTTTAATTGTGAAATTTGTTGTCCCTCTACGTTGATGTTCGTTACTAGTCACAACTAGGGGTATAAATGGGTCAAGTTAGGTTAGAATTTGGCTTTGATAGCCTAAGCCTATGTAAAATATTCAGAGCCTGTACTGGCCTATTAGCCTATTAAAGACTTGATTTATAGGTTTATCCTGACCTATTATAAAAAACTAAAAAACCTAATACGACATGTAAGGTCTACCAAGTTGCAAACTAAAGTTTATAAACCCAAACCAAATTAAAATATTAAAAAAAATATTCACAAAGATCACCTGAAATAAATTTTCATTGACATCAAAATAAATAAATTTTCATTTACATCAAATTAAATAAATTTTCCTTAACATCACATTATAATAATATTCATAAAGATCACATGAAAATTTTATATATGTAATATACATATAATTTGCACTTTTTTTACTAATTTAATTTTATATTATATTTTAAATTTTAAATAAATATTTATTATTTGATAAAATAACATGACTTCTATTACTTTACTTTTTTTAAGTAAATTTTTTTCCTAATAGATTTGTGTAATTACAAAAATAATATGTCAAATTTTTTACCCCTGCTGAAATTAAATCCTGACTCTGTCACTATTTATGACTCTTTATAGATGTCTTCTAGAAGGTATATACTTTGATATTGAACCCAACTAATTGGGTCTACGGATATGGGCTGGCCAAACGGATTGAAAACTCTTTAGGAATTTAAAGGGTAACTACGGAGCGAGTTAGAGCTTCTCAAAGTGACAAAGCAATCAATGATAGAGTTTTTGCTCGATATGTAACAAGAAAACTAGAAAAGTTTTGGGCCCTAGACTGCCAAAAAAAATTATTTTTGGTCTTGCGACTGGTTTCTTTGCAATTGCATTGCGCTCGTGATCTTCCCTCAGGCTGAGATCTCTTCCACCTGTTAAGGCTTAAACAGAAGGCTGTGAGGATG